ACACCCAGCATATTGTTTTCATTTCAGGTTGCCACACATTAAGAATATAAATTGTAACTTTCTCAAATGAGATAAATGGGGAGAACAAGGGAACTCACAGCTGTGTTTTGTGAAGAAAAAATTTCAAGATATTGGCAATGATTAGCCTGCAAGAGACAGAGTTTAGGAGGAATGAGGTGGATTTCTTCAAAATTTTTAAGGACTCTCATTCCTCCTAAGGTAGGGACTAGATTTGTTCTGTTTGGACTGTAAGGTGAAAGTTACAGGGAGATAGCTACTGGCTGGTCAAAGATGAACTTGGTTCAGGTTTTTTGTTAGTTTTTTTGTTTTTGTTTGTTTTTAGGTATAGGAAGATTGACCACATGATAGTGAGATTGTGGAGGGGATATGAGTGTCAGATGGATGGTTAGACTGAAAGATTCTTTCTGAGAGTCTTTGATTGTATGACCTTTAGTAATGATGAAATTATTACCTCACAAAACATCCCATTCCATGGGCTTTTCACTGCAGAAAGAAAATGGAATATGGATAAGGCAGCCATCTCCAAGAAAGGAAGGAAGAGTCCCATGGATCTATATCCAATTAATTACCAAATGTTTGGTTTCCCAAGCAATTTACTGATAGAATCCTTCCCTAGACTGGGTAACTTCCTCTTCCATCCACTTCCAAGGGCTAGTAGGCAAGTTCAATCACTTGGGAAACTGGCCAAGCTTTGGATAAGTCGTCTGGCAATGAAACAAATAAGTTTTACCCCATTAGGGAAACACTTTCTCTGGTTCTGTTTTCTAAGTTCCCACTTCCCTCTCTGACAAGTTCATTGCATCATTTTGGGGGAATTGGAACTAGTGCAGAAACTTAGTCCAGACTTTAGATCCCAAGAGACTCAGCTTCCTCACTCACAGTCTTCTTTCCTCTGCCATAGGAAAGTCATCAACAGCACAAACCCACTGAGAACTTCCGGCTGCCCCTGATGCCTCAGGAAAAAAAGTTAAAATCTGGGTTGAAACGAATCTTCCCTCTGAGACTGTTGGACCGTTCTACATCCAAAGGAGAACAATGGTTTAGGTGAAGTCCTGGCTGTTTTTGCGCTGCCCCTGATGCCTCAGGAAAAAAAGTTAAAATCTGGGTTGAAACGAATCTTCCCTCTGACACTGTTGGACCGTTCTACATCCAAAGGAGAACAATGGTTTAGGTGAAGTCCTGGCTGTTTTTGCGCTCAGTTTCTTTCCTAATTTTTTCCTCATTCATCTTACTGTCTGTTTTCAACACAATTTAACAAACACAGTTTTTGGTTGTACGGAATATGTACCACCATATAATAATAAGACACAGACAGCTTTCCTTCATGAACTTCAACCTTATTTACACTCTAATGAAAAACAAACAGTAATGCAAAACTAAGGTTTTCCACTGATGATTTCAAGAGTGAAGGGAAGTATTCAAAGGTCTGTGCTTTGAGGAAATAGGAAAAAAATGTACTCTCAGTGCAAGTTAAGAACTATACAGTATAGGAACAATATACTATAAGAACACAAATACAAAGGAGATTTTATTTGAAACTGGTTTTAGGAGCAGCCTATATCTAGTTTAGAAAGGAGAGAGAAGATTTTGGAGTTCCTTCAAAGGTTTATAGTGCTAAGTTCCAGAAACATCCCTTGCCACAGAACAATTCTCCCACTCTGTACCAGTCAACAGCCTCTTGTCCTTGTCCCCTCTCTCTCAGAATCTCTGAGAACGTAGCCAACTTTAAAGTGACTGGTTCCATTAACTCTCTGCCGTAGGATCTTACAAATGAACTTTCTTTTTTAAGGTTTTCCACTGACAATGATTTCAAGAGTGAAGGGAAGTATTCAAATCTCTGTGCTTTGAAGAAACAGAAAAAACTGTACCCTCAGCTCAACTTTGCTACATACTCTGAAAGAGACATGAGGAAAGATGGTAAGCTCCTCTTTTTCAAAGCAATGACTTACTGGACTGAGTTGTGGGCTGGAGGTAGAATATATGGGGATTAGAGATGTGAGCAAATTGGCATCTCTTATGATGGTTCTAGAGACCATTTTTCCTTGTAGCATGGAAGCAAAGAACTAACAAAGGCTCAGGTGGTACTAGGCTTTGGACCCTGTTCAAATCCTCAAATTTCAAGAAAGCTCTAGCAAAGTGTTTCCCAAATTACAACACCTACAACTTTAATAGTTTTTGACATATTGATGTATTATTTACTCTACAATTTAGTGTTTTTCTTTAAAAGGATTTTTTAAAATTCTCGCTCCAATTAATACTATATCATTGACACCATGGTTTTGATAGGCAAATTATGTTTTTTCTGGCACACATTAAATCAAATTCATAATAATTAAATTTTTAAATGTTTATTTATGTACCACCTAAAACCACCCAGTGCTACCATGTTATACTTCGAGGAAAACTGCTCTAAAAGTTTATCCAAGGATAAGTCTGTGAGTCTCAGAGGTCCCCAAGTCTCTTTGTGGGTTGGGATAACATTGTATGGGAAAGGATGCAATGAGAACGCTCCTCACACATTGTCATTCATTTAATGACATTTATGGGGTACCTACTAAGTGTTGGACACTTATTGAGCATGAATATGTACATCAATATGTGAGATATATGGGCTAGATCATGAAGGGCCTTATAGATTATATAAATAAGGGGCTGAGTTTTATCCAATAGGCATTTAGGTCCCATTAAAGGATTTTAGAGCATTGAATACACATTTGTGTATTAGAGGTAAAATCAATGGGTCCTCAGACTTCACCAGCTTATGAATTCAAGATAAGGTCCATTTCTCCTACTGGGTTTCTCTTCTCAGGCAATTTCCAGGACTCCCTATGGTACCCTTAGCTATTCCACAATGCCTTCACAGTGATTGCTTAACACCTTTGCCAGCCATTCTCAGCCCAATCACAGTTCCAGAGGTATGAAGTCATGTTGTGTCAGTCCTTAACTGTCTTCTCCAGTCTTCTCTGCTCCTCCTACACATTTTGCCACCCCGCCCCACACCCACCTCCTGCCAGTCAACTCCCCATATGCAGCTAAAACCAACCTGTGGTATGAAACAAAACATCATAGATACAGAGAAAAGCTGAAGAACAGCAGAGAGTGATTTATCTTGCTTTAAAGGGGGCTACTCTTAGGCTTAGCCTCAAACCCAACCTCAATTCCTTCATACTTCCCAACAGACCTCTGTCACATTACCCATTCTTGGGAATCTCCAGGCTTATCTGTCTCTGCCTAGGCTTCCGATACCCTTGGCCCAAGGAAGAGGAAGAGGGTTTCTCCTTTCCCAAAATCTGTTTATTTTTCAGCCACAGAATAAGTGTATGAACATTTATTTTCTTCAAGAGAAAGTCCACCTAGAAAGTATGGTTTGTACGTTATAAGCTAGATAAGGCAAACATAATAGTAGTACATTTAGTCAAGTCAGAGTTAAAGCTCCTAATTTCTAAACAGTTAAATCGTTTACTCTTTTAATTTCTAAACAGAACACTTAATATATTGCGTTATAAGCTAGATAAGGCAAACATAATAGTAGTACATTTAGTCAAGTCAGAGTTAAAGCTCTTAATTTCTAAACAGTTAAATCGTTTACTCTTTTAATTTCTAAACAGAACACTTAATATATTGCTCTGCAGCATCTATTAGATTTTTGGTGACTCTACAGTTTCCCTCAAGAAAAATGAGTGAATACTTACTTATGTATCTACATGGCCCATTATGGTGCATTTCATAAACAAAAACAGTCTACTGGGAAATTGAACCCATGTTACCACTTCAAGCAAAAAAGATGGCTAGCAACCCCTCCTTCCTCCAATAATGTTCCATGTTTATCAGGCATACAAATAAAAACTACATAGAGAATGGTTTGGATGGGGGCCATGAAGGCTGGTTAGGAGGCTGTTCAAATGACACATGATAGGACCTAAACTAAGGTGATGGCAGTAGGGATGAGGGAACAGATTGACATGCTATTTACAAGGTATAGTGCATTCAGAAAGTGGGGAGGGATAGGAGAAAGGAGATCCGACAATGGAAGTTTCCAAAGAACAGGCAGGGGTTGAAAGTGAATCTGGATAAAGCAATGCCACTGAAGCCAAGGGTAGAAAAAGTTTCTTAATCACACTTTCAGACAAGATAACAGAAAATCGACGTATACATTGGGAAAAGGCTAAGAGGAACATGATACAGTGGATGCATGTTAACTTAGTAAGAGTTATATGTGCCAATATGGTTGCAGATGTGATCATTTGAAAAGGGTGGGATAAAACAAGGAAGACCCTAAACTGGCAGTGTATTTTAAAGTGGGTTTTGATGAAGGAAATAAATCCAGAAGTAGAAGGAAGGTTGGGAATGGTAGTTCGCACTCCAAAATCTACCCTCTTGCTAGGAGGAAAGACCAGCTCTCTGGTCCCTTTAAGCGGGTCTCTTTCACGCCTCCCATTAAGTATCCTTCTAGGACTTCTGGAAATCCACATTCACCAAAGTGTCCTGTGCTTTGTCGTAGCTTCCAAGATGTCAGTGAGTGAAATACCGATTTCCAAGGTGATTTGGGAACCACTAACTCTTTCATCGCTCCTCAAAGAGAAGCCCACCAGAGTCGCGCCAGGGGAAAGCGCCTTCCGCAATGGAAGGGCCCAGCAGTGGTTTATCAAAAATTCCACTGACACTAAGTGAAAACAAATCCTTCAGGCCTCCCGACTCGCTCTCCAGAGACTGAGGGACCTGCAGAAGTCGCCAACCAAATAAAACCACATTCCTGCTGCTGCGGGTGTAGACTGCAGGGTCCCCGGCCGACTGGGGACCGGACCGAGCCCCCGGGGGGTGCGGACAGTGCCCGGCCCCGCCCCCGCCAGGCTTGGGGAGGAGGAGAGAGGGCGTGGCTGCGTCCCCAGGGGGCGGGGGCGGGCGCGACAGCCGGGGAGGGCGGGCCTTTGCCCCGAGTGACGGCCCGGAGGCCCAACCGGCGTGAGAGCACGGGACCGGCCTTCCTGCAGCCTCTTCCGCTCGCCGGCTGCGGCGCCTGGGACGGTTGCGGTGGGTCTGGGCGCTGGGAAGTCGTCCAAGATGATTAAAAAATTCGACAAGAAGGACGAGGAGTCTGGTACGCGGGGGGCTTATGACTCCCACCCTCAGCCCTGGGGGGACACCCTGCCCCGCCCGCCACCACCTGCTTTCCGGGACGGCGGGGCTGGGGGCGTGGGCGCTGCCGTGTGAGGGGGCCGGAGTTGGAGCCGGC